TTTTAAAGTCAAAAACTATAGTAACGTACTAAACATAATCCCAACAAACACCACCATATCACGGGTGGATAGCTAAAGGCCAGCATAGCCCAAGTCCACAGTGCGATTCATATACCTTCCCGAGAGTAACGCAGCCGGTCATTTTCACGGCTTTCGACACAGAGCGCCCACCACAACAGCGCCGTTCAGCCACAGGCACTGGTTCACAGCGCCGGAGCACAACTGGCCGGAGCGCAGCAGGCCCTACATACAACGCCTTACCCCGGCCCTACTCCGAACCTAAACTAACCTAACCTAACCTAACCTAACCTAACCTGTAGCGGTAGGGCCTGTTGCGCTCCGGCCAGTTGTGCTCCGGCGCTGTGAAGCAGTAGCTGTGTTTTTTAAAGTTGGAGTGGTGATATGAGTCACTTACACACAGCTCATTGATCTGAGGCTATGTGTAGATGATGCATGCTGATGGTTGGCGTTGGGCCCAGGGCCTGTTTACGAGTTAATTTTGTTACCCACGGCTCCGCTCCCCATATCACAATGAGTGCTAAACGATGGTTTCTTTATTTTTAATACAAAAGTAACATCCAAAAAATTGGAAAGGGAATTTTCATGCATTTTAAATGAAAATACATCTTTTACAGAGGACATGGAACAGCCATAGAGAGATCGAGAAATATGGACTTCACCATAACATCATCAATAATCAAGGCAGTAATGCTCCCTAATCAGTAATGCATGAACTAGATCGATAACTTATCACATGATCACACTACAGCATAACAAAACTTTTCTGGCTCAATTATACTTAAATGGCAAATATTACCCCATCTGACGATATGTCAGCCTTGCTTGTGGCAAAGAAAGATTAGCAGGAAGATGTATGCGAGGAAGTCTCTGTAGAAAAAATATGAAACAAGCATCAAATGAGCCTAGCCTGTAGCGGGTAGCCAATCGAATTTGACTCTGGTCAGCATCTGGATTGCGGGCGTCTACAGCACGCCCAGCGCATAAATTAACGGCTCTATGTCTATGCTTTACGATCTGGTTGTACGAGCGAAATAAGTGCCTGAATAGAATTTGATCCATTCCCTGGCGATCGTGGGTCGAGCGGGGCTCGTGTAATTGGCACCTGATAGCTTCTGAGCGGACACAGCCGAATCTGAAAAGTGCATTGAAAAATGACCCCGCGGTTCCACCCATTATACGGCGGGAGGAGGAGGAGGAATTTGTATTTCTGCACGCTATATATATGCAGCCTAGTGTTACTCGCCTAATTTAAGACTATGCATCAAGGCACTCAGCCTCGATAGTCACCTATGGCGTTTCTTCTCTATGAATTGGTCCACTAACTCCCCTCATAAATAAGATACAAGTCTAAAATACGGAATGTTTCCTTGGCTAATTATTTTCAATTTGCAGACATTAAGAAAAATTATGTAAACTTTTCATTTCAACTTCTCAGGAAGGATAAAATTTTACACCCGATGTTAGAAAAGCGTGCGACTACCATTTCTCGATGTACGCCGGTTTCACTATTTATTCTTCATTGATTGCTATGCAAAACATTTCTAAATAATTTTTCTGATATTAGATATAAGTACTTAAAGCCAAATAGGTAAGTGAAACTTCTGTGGATTAAAGCAAGAAATGACCTTTCGTTGGCGCACTTTCCTGACGGCGCAGGCAAGAAATCTTCTGTTCACGGTAAACACTCCTTTTTCCCTGCCCATTCGTGGTCTCTTCCAATCTCTCAAAGTCCTTGTCTGGGCTGCGGTGGCTTTTAAATGGTCAAGACTACAATAAACGTTTTCAAGAATTGCCAATAATACGTAAATAATGTTAAGCTTGTCATATATGAGCGTCAAGCGTTAGGATGATTAAGAGATAATCGTAAATTTGTTTTTAAATATGAAGAGAATGAATGCATGGACAACTCAGGATAAAATTTTCCATTTGCTACCACATGAACGATTATTGTAATGCAAATCATTGAATTAAATGAGCTAGAATATAGCATATTAAATTCTATACGTTCATGATTCTATGCAATCAGTGGCGTATTCCAGTATACGTATGTGAAGATTTTCCGTGACAGAAATTCATTAAATACTGTTAAGAAATGGAGTTGATTTCATGTGAATTCTATTCCTGTAAAAATTTTTATCAATGATAAAAAGTAGCCCGTAACAATATATTGAACATCAGTTAATAATTTGTAATATTAATATCAGATTAAACCACTGACTAAACTAAACTAGGCTATTGTCTCGAGTTTACACGCAGTTTGGTCTATAGCATAGCGCGGAGTTCAATAGTCTTTATTGGCAAGATCTTCCATCAAATCAAATCAAGTTATACGACAGAATCTCCAATTCATATGTCATAGTCAATGGCTATAAAGTGATCACATTGCGATTTCATTTTTTTAAATTGGGGTCAAGACATGTGGCGACATAAGCGCCCACCAGCCAGGGCCTATACTTTCAAAAAAAGTTAAGAGATCGTTAGTTCATCCGCCAATAATTGACGGCCTTTCAAGCAAATTCCACCAATCATAGACAAGAAAATAGAGCGTAAGTACATATATTCACTTAGCGAGTTTTGAAAGTATGGCCCCTGATCTCTGTCAGAAATGCGATTTCATTATATACGTGCCTAAATGATCAGTCTCAGTCAGTTCTTAAGTATTATTATTTCTGATGTGTAGGATTGCAGATTTAGAGTGGGCTGGACTTTAGATTATTCTCTTCAAATTCGTCCCTGAAGAAGTTTCCTTACTCAAGTGTTTAACCACGTGGACTGGTTTATCACTCTGAGAACTAGAGAAGCGCAGCTCGCTATTATGTTATAAGATATCGCGGATCTCTCGCGTTGAATCGTTAGATTGATCAGTTAATAGTTCAAATAGTTTCATGTATTGTGTTCTTTACCAATGCAAATTTTGCTTCCTGTTTTTTTTTCATGTAAATTCTTGGTGTAGGTTAATGTTTGAAGTATCCGCATGAGTCAAAACGAACCCGATGAGGACAGCCTTCGTTGCACTTATGAAAAGTTTATCTATCCCTTATGGTAAACTTATTGTACCGTGTTGTGGCACCGCTCCACCACGAAAACCAGTCAAAATTGAATGAACAATTTGTTTGAGATTTTCAAATTCCTTAAAATTTATCTTCTATTTTGCTGCCGATACAAGTAAACTTTCAATTTGATTGCAAGATTTATAAAAATCACCGAATGTATGCTTCATGGCTTAAACTTGTTAAAAACAATACAAGAATCTGAAGAATGAATACGATTCTTAAATCAAAGATTTTTTTCGAGCACTGGCAAGGTTTGACGTCTCTTCTCCCACGCCACGCGAACTAGAGTTCGCAGAAGACCCGGATCAGCTTCTTGACGCTGATCAAGTGGCTGTTGGTCGTTCCCATATACGACACATAAGTGTTAATCTAAGTATCCCGCAATATTTCTCACAATAAAAGTAATTATTTTAGCAGTGCCTTTTTTTTGATGTTGTGAGAAATTTAGCAATTTAACTTTGTAGTGCTGCCTACATAGATGAGGTGCAATGAAGTTTTAAATGATGTTGTCACACACAATTTACGAAACGAAATGCATTAGCAATTTAGTAAAAATGTGCCAAGTTGAACTCAGAGTTTTAGGATTGAAGTAATACTGAAATTTTTTTTATATCTTTAAGCCTAATTATGTTCAAGAGGCATTGGTGATCTGGCATGTGGTTCACTAAAATCAAATAAGAACTTTCTTAGAGCCAAGATGCAAGTCATGAAATGTCTTATTATCCCGATCTCATGGTAAGTGAAGAAATGAAGCTCTGTTTGCTTGCTCATAGAAAGTAATTTGTTGTGCGCTCGAATGTCAGAATTGCAGAAAATATAATGTTTATTGTAAAAAGTTTTAAATTTGTACTTTTACTTTATTATTACATACATTCGTGCTCTAATACCTCCATCAATTGGATGTGGAAGGACTCGTGAATTCACCCATGATTTTTTAAATTTAAAATTTTGCGTGCACCTAACGTGCGTATGCCTAACGTATTGCGATCAGTGAGCTGGTATCGAAGGACTGCATTTTTACAAAATCAATTGATGAAATGGCCATAGGAGGGCCACTGCAAACGCTTCACTGAAATGGCATGATTCCAAGCGACACATGAGAGCACCGCACAGATGCCGCTCATTGCCATGCTGTCGAGACGAAACCTATCGTCGATTCAACGCCAATGAGTGACACTATCAAAAACGGTCTTCCCATCACTGCCGTTGAACCGATGCGGCATCCACGCAGCAGCAAATTGGCATGCAGCCGAGGTAATGTTGGCACAAATTTTTGACTGGGTAGCTGGATTCATAATAGGAATATTTTGACAGTTAATTGTGTGCTTAATCATTTTAAATAATATTTTAATGCCTTCATGCAAATAAGATTCGTCACAAGGAAATTCCATTTTTGAACTTTGATCTGTATGAATTAAGCTGGTTTTCAATATGAAGAAACTTTTCATTGTTTCGTCAACCTCTTACCAGTGAATGATTGATAATTTAATAGTAAGATTTCGTTTAAACCTCATGCATTTATTCTGCCGGACGTTATTCGTGTGAAAATTATCATCGAAATATAAGTACATTTAGCCCGCTATCTATTTTCTCATAATATATTCATTTGATTCTTCGAGGTAAGTCACCGATTGTTGTAAATATAACCTGAGTACTGGAATATAGAAAAACCGAACTATAAAATAATAATTCCAATAAACACACACGTGTATAGGTGAGTTTCTCACAGATCATTTCAGAAGCTGCAAGCTGCCGAAGCATTTCGTTGGTCTGCAGATTTTTTCGAGACAAAACCATAAAATTTTTTGAGGTTCTCAAGGTTCTATAAAAAGATTTTTTAACACCAAATAAATAAAGAAATTAATTAAATAATTTATTTACAATGATTATTCACAGTAATTACCTTAAAAATTAATTACCGTCAAAATAAATGTCAATATTTCAACTGGGGAGAACGAAATTTTTTCCCTAATACTCAAGAAATTTGTCATAGCAAACGACTATATAACTGGCAATAAGGCGAATATCCTCCAAGTCAGTCAGATATCAACATTTGTTCGTGCATATGATCACTCGGACTAAAACATTGATCAAGAGAAAAAATTCATGAATAAGTTTCACGATTACTCTCAGGTCTTTATGCTCCTGTATCGGCAGCATGAAATCCTGATTTTTTGCGTTTTGTGTCGGAGAGGAGTTTACTGGAGGTATCGATACATTCTTTAAGCTGCTATTTAAGCCCTAACAATAGTTAGAAACGTGAGAAATCCTGCATTAGGGCCGCCTAGGACTTGGAGAGCTCGTAAATCAGCTTCTCTATGTCCGCATTGGCTCCCGTTACGAAAGGCAGCTGCTGGGCAGCTTGCTAGCTCGGTCAACACTTATCATCCTCTCAGACTAAAAAGTCGGAATGGAGATTCTGACCAAAAACTGATTTTGAACGGGTGACCACACAAACCCAGAATTACTTTGCACCGAGTGAGTGACTATTCGGCCGAAGCCTATATGCGGTTACCGAATTTCGTTAGGGAGGTCATCTATTTTTTAAAGTTTCAGCAGCAGGAGAATTTCTAATGCTAACGTGTTTTGGAACTCCACTTAATCTTTTTTGGGAAGAAATTTGAATCTGGATAAGTAAGATAGCATTTGCATTCACGAGTACGTGAGTTGACTGCTTCTAATTCTAGCAAGGTTTCGTCAGCTTTCACACTTTGAATTCCCTGTTCAAGCCATCACTGAGTTTTTTGTTGAAGAAAAGATAGTCGAAATCAAGTTGTCTAATGAACTCGAAGCCTCTGCCTTCCATGAACTTTTTGATACCTTCAGGACCTTCAGCAGCCCAGATGATCTCGATGGTGATAACTCTGATCTTCACGTCATTCCAAGGAATGCTCTTCAGCACCTGTCGCAAATAAATTCTTATAAAAAATAGCAATGGTCACTACTATAATCACAAATCTATATCAATAATCGCACCTTTGTCTTCGGAATGAAAGAATTTCGCTTAATGTTACATTCATTTCGACGCCCTCGACGTCGAGGGACATGTAGTCCACCACAGGGTTGCCCAGCGCCGCCATGACGCTGTAGAAGGGATAGCACGGAACTCTCACAGAATTTTGTGTCTTCTCGGCATTGGTGAGTGTGTTTTCATTTGCATTTATTTTTCCCACACTGAGAAAGAAATAATGAACATATATTATCTTTACTGATACAGTCAATTGTCAGTGATGAAATAGGGAAGATATATGACCAGATATAGCAACCAAGCGCCAAACATTATCAGGTATAAACTTTTCGTTCATTATTTGTCGACAGCAACTGCTTGGGTCTTCATGAAGTTCGGGGCTCGCAAAATTATAACACGATAGGAGAATTTGACACTTGTTAAATGCTTGAGTGATATTTCCATTCTAATAATTATATAGAATTCATTACTAGATATTTCACAACCGATTAGATAAATTTTAGTTGGCCTAAACCATTGAAAATAGGAGTAAAATCTAGAACAATGAGTTTAAAATTTGATGATATTATATTCTTTTGAGAATAACTGACTCCAAGAGAAGTTCACTGTAGTTTGTGTCAGGGGCGATGCACGCCCGCATGATGTGCGCTCTTCTGTTCTTGCTCTTGAGGGCGCGGTAGCTGCTGGGCGTCGGCTCCATCAGAACCCCCGTCCAGCCGAGCTCCCGTTCCAGAAGCAACGTGTTCGAATAAGTCTCCCCAGTGAAGGCGCCTACTTCGAAGAAAAAGCCTCCTCTCTGTTTTGATAATATTATGTAAAAAGCGGACTCGGCGTTTATTAGGCCGAAGGCCTGTCGCCGATCCTTAACATCGCAGAACATCCACAGCTTGTTGCAGGCTCGAACTCGCAACTCACTGCTGCAATTTTTGCTTTGCTTAACCGCCCGGCCTCCTTGCCGGTTTTGACCAGAAACTGTCGCACAGAGCTGGGATCGAACCCGTACCTCTCTGCGCCAATCCTGGGACTCTGAACTTTAAACACTGGGCCACCCTGCCTTATATTGACTTTTAATTTTAAAAATATTTCGATTTTCATTAGCAACAGCTCGGCAACAACAATTTAAATTATATTTGCTCAAGCGCGCAGAAACGCAACGCAACTTTGGTACTGGGAACAATTACCGTATCTTTGAAAACTTCTTTCAAATAAATATCTTGGCCATGCTGGGAAAAGAACCTCCGGTTGGGGTTGTCAAGATGGTAAGGAACATCATGTGAGGGGGCGATGAGGGCTTCCTGGGCTGCCTTGATGACGGCTTCGTCGTGCATGTCCTTCCCCACGAGGTCAGGATGCAGGAACAAGTCCTCCGTCTCGGGCGACGAACGCTCCATCGCTGGTCTCGAGGTACCTTCAGCTGAGTTCAGTGTCAAAAGTAGGTTAAAATCTTTAGATAAATATAAGTGCAAAAACATAATTTTAAGTAAATAGACTAAGAAAAATAAGTTCTACAATACTTTTTATTCAAAAATTTGTATTCGCCAAAAAATGAGTGGAATTTTCAAACATATATATTGCAGTAATTAAACGTAATTTTGCAGTAAAAAAAGCCGGAACTAAATTTAGAAAAGGTTGAAAGATCTCCTAAATGAGAGGGCTCACTTTCAATATTATCAATGTTCTCTTTACTTGTGAATGCACGAGTCAAAATTATTAGGAAGAGGCATCCGGCAAAGGCAAGCAGAAGAGCTTTGCGGGAACATTTCTGTGCCATTAGCTTCATTCTTCCTAAGAAGGTCCTTTGGTGGGTTTTCATATTTGCTAAGATTTTTTTGGGAATTTTTCTGTAATATAAACACTGTTATTGAAACTGAAAATTAAAATATTTTAAAGGTTAATTAAGAACAATAGACATTACAGTTTTATAACGGGATTGTCATTTAATTGTATTTTATCGATTTCCACAATTGCTTGAAGTCAGTTGAATGCGAATGTTTTGCATATCTGTCAAATTAAAGTAGTAAACAAGATGAGAAATTAATCTATTTATTTGCTGTATTTTACACGCTGGGATCAAGTTATAGCGCCATGCTGAACACACGTGCTAATGTATAATGAAAAGTTGTGACATGTTGCTGGCAGAGAGAGGGCAGAGTAAATATGGTGTAGGTAATTATTTACACCAATGCATTCGCATTGAAAGGAAAGCTATAATTACTGCTATTGATGATGGCCGTGTACCGCTATTTGACGATGCTATTGTACCGCTATTGATGATGACTGAGACCGTAGTTAGGTGACGGGCCGAAGGTATACCATTACAACGAGCCCTCACACTGTCGTCGGCTGTGAAGTTCAAAGCACAGAAGATTGTTTACATTTGGGGTGGGAGGGAGATGGCATGAGGGTGAGCTTGGTTCTTAGCCCTCGAAGTCCTGTTGTTGTTGTTAGTTGCCAGGAACTGTCGCTCGGCGGTGCCCCCGCAGAGGCGGCGGCTCACGGGGAAGAGGAGAGAGCGATGTCCAAGGATATTGCAGATAGATGGGAGAGATGATTGGAATGCCGCAGTCGGCTCAGGGTTAGTCCAGAGGTTAAGTGGGGTTAGAGAGGTGGGGTGCGATGGACAGCTGAAGAGGTGATGGGTGGTATGATCCAGAACGTCGCATGGGTGGTATGATCGTCGCATGGGTGGTAAGAGGTGATGGGTGGTATGATCCAGAACGTCACTCAGGGCAGGGAGGGCTATTTGCTGCTCCAATTCGGGCAAGGTACGAGTTGAGTCGCGGTGAGTAGCCAGAGCGGAGCTGGGAAAGGGCGATTCTGGCTACTCTGGGGAGGAGCCGCTTACTGAATGAGATGGGGGGGGCAGGAATCATTTACATCTTGCTAGGAGCTGCTGAGGCCAGATAGGAGGAGACGGCTGAGCTGTGCAGGGTGCTGAGGGCAGTGGAGTAGGAGTCGGGGGGAAGGACTTCTTTTCCGGTAGGTGAGAGACCGAAGGGAAGTAGCGGGTCTGAAGCGTTTGTAGGGTACCTGGGATGGTGTCCTGTGGAGCATAGGAGAGAGAGGTGCTCAGCCACGGGTATGACTTCAGCTTTGCTGTGCAAGTGGGAAACTAAGGCCATTTGGAGAGAATCCATGGCTATGCTGAGAGGAGAATTCTGAATGGTTTGCAGCTTAGAGATTGCCGAACGAGGGGCGTTAGGGAACCACACATGGGCACAGAGTGGAAGGTCAAAACCCTCCCAGCTGACACGAAGGTCTTTTTTGTGATTGATGGGTGTCGGAGGTGAAGAGGGTGGTGTGGGATTTGGGGATGGATACAGACAGCCCCTTCCGACGAGCCCATGCCGCCACATTGGAAGAGTGGGAAGAGAGGACAGCAGATGCGTCGGCAATCTGCACGGTCCCCACAGCGGCTGTGAAATGGTCCGCACAGGAGGTGATTAAAGGGGCGGACTGGGGGAAGTCTGAAATATAGGAATTGAAAAGGACGGGCGAGATGACGGTGCCCTCTGGAACTCCAGCGTGAACCGGACGTGGGGAGGAGATGCAGCTGTTGTAGGAGCACCAGGCTGACCTGCCTCTGATGAAGTAGATCAGCCAGCAAGTGATGTTGGCGTGGAGGGGAGTGGAGGCGATATGAAAGATGAGCTGAGCGTGAGGCACTGTGTAAAATGCCTTGCTGAAGTCTATGGCCATTGCTATTGTCCGTGTTGGCGGGCGGTGCTGGTTGAAACCTGTAGCAATGGCCTGGGTTAGAGGAAGTAGGGCAGATATTGTGGAGTGGAGGGAGCGGAAACCGTGCTGGGAGTCCATCAGTGGAAGCGTTGCATTGAGGGAAGGGAGGAGCAGACGCTCCAGCTCCTTCACAAATGGGCAGAGGAGGGAAATGGGCCGGTATGAGGAGCTGATGGACGGAGGTTTGCCTGGCTTGGGAATGGCAATGATTGCAGCTTCCTGATGGCAGGAATGTCGGCCTTGGCGAGGGACAGATTGAAGAGTTTGGTAAGGTACTGTATGCCTCTGGGACCCAGGTGTTGGAGGTGGAGGATAGTGAGGGAGTACGGGCCAGTGGCGATGGAGGTACGCGAGCCACATACTGCCGGTCTGGTCTGATCCGGAGTGAACGGGGGAGGTGTGCCATAAAGGGGATTGCAGCACTTGATGCCTCTGTAAGTTGACCTGCAGAATGGGTCACGTTGGTAGCGGAAAAACCGCATGAATCGGTGGCAGAAGAACAGGGCTATGATGTGGTCTGCGGTGGCATGGGAATTGTTGGAGGAAATGGGTTGGTTAGGGGCTTGTCTGGTTGACTTGCCGGAGAGGGAGCGCAGGAGCGACCAAAATTTAGGTGGGTTTTTCTGCAGGTTGGTTGACTGGACCTTCATGATCCAGGTTATGCACGAGTGAGTGGTATTGGCTGTTAAGATGTTGTTGTAGAGGTCCGGAAGGCTAGGATGGTTGGGGTTCAAGGCACGGGTCCTGTCACGCTAATGGATGAGAGGGATGGCTGCGGGTGGGAAGTTGAGAATGAAATCTCTTCTACATCCGAGAGGGATATGTCGACGGGCCGCCGCGGTGAGAATCTTTCTAAAGAGGATCTCTCCCTGGGAGCAAGAAGAACGGGGAGCAGTGGTACTAAAAGCGGCCTTGGTGTCGGCGACATAGGCATCCCAATCTGCTCGACGGAAGTTGATGTAGGTGCGAGTAGGACGGTTTTTGGAGGTGTTCATGGAGTCCAGGGAGATAGAGATGGGAAGGTGGTCAGAGTTAAGGCGGGACCCAGTGTTGTCCAGACAGCGTATAGGGCCAGATGAGGACTGATGAGGGCAAGGTCGGGTGATGATGGGGCTGCTTGTGACGGGAGCCTGGTGGGAGTGTCTTGATTGAGGAGGACAAGCTGACTGGAGTCTACTTGTTTCATTAAGGCTTCGCATGGGGCGGCCGCGTGGTCATCCTGAGTGACGGAGAACCACGCTGAGAGTTATGAGCATTGAAGTCGCCCATAATAATGGTGTTATGGACTTCCATCTTGAGCAGTAAGGTCAGGGAGGGAGAAAATCCGGGGAGCAGGAGGTGGGCGGGGGATGTAGATGTTGTAGAGGTAGGATTGTGTTCCATCAATGGAAATAGAGATATCCTGGGGTTCAATTGTTGAATCGCTAGGAACAAATGGTCAGAAGGGATCGGGGAGTACGAGACGGTGTGGTTGACAAAGAAACAGAGACCGCCACTGCCTGCACGCACGAGGACCAATGGGTCTTTCGTGGCGGACCAAGGTGTAGCCAGGGAATGTTGGAAGGTTAGAGGCCTCGGTCTGCCTGCTTTTCTGAATGGCTGAGACAAGGATGGAGTGGGCGACAAAAAGTGGGCCAACTCAAGTGGGCAATGCCGCCGGCCGTTGCAGTTGAACTGGAGGAAGTGGGTGAGGACAGGTGGAGGTCCGTTGGCAAAGTGAGGACCATGTAGGTACGGCGATCCAGGAGGAGGGCAGTGGGGGGAGACGGCTGGGGTGGAGGTGGGGAAGGAGGAGGGGGAGGTGGTATTGGGGAGGAGGGAGTTGCAGTACACCCGGGGCAGGTGCAGGTGAGGCAATACTGGGACGCCCTGCTGAGTCCGGAGCACAGTTTATGGACCTAGAGGTTGCAGAAATTGCACAGGAAGGAAGTGCCCCGCCAGGTGACTGAGCGCCCGCAGATGCCACAAGGGTGAGAGATGACAGGGCAGGCAGGATGGATACCCGTCATCAAGCGAAGGAGGGCGATGGTGACTTGGTCGAGTGGGCGGGCTGCGGCTGAGGTTAGGAGGAACGGCAGGGAGAAGCGACGCCCCACACGGGAGCGCGGTCAAGCCGAAAAAACGGCTCGCAGCAGGTCCAGGAATTGTGTCCGCGTTTTGGCCTCCGGGAGCAACGGGTCGCCACGGAGGGTTCCATCCACCACGAAGAGGCCAGGACGTTGCATGGTATGGAATTCTTGTGTTGGCTGAGGTTGGGAAGATCACGCCGCCACACTGCTGCGTAACCAGTGCTTATTGGTCAGTACTGTATAAATTCTTTCACCAACTCAAAAAACAGGCTCAAGTATGACCGAAAGGCTCATACATGTCCAACTCTAAAAAAAAGGCTCACCATGTCCGATGGTGAAAATTATGCATATGTTAATGAAAGACCTGTGTGCCTTGAATTTTACACGCACACAATAAAACACCCTTCTTTTTTAGCAATCAATTAGGACGGAATTTTAAGACGGAATTAAATGCTCGCACACATATGTACTATTACACATATATGCTATAAAAAATACACACATATATAGTATTTCTTCATATATTTAAAAATTTCAACCGACCGTCGGATCATGAAGGAATCAGCCTAGGTATCTAAAATCTTCCACCCTAGTGCGCATGTTTGTGTGTACACGAGGACACATCGTACGATCGTTTGTGTATGCACTTCGGAGGCTTCGGAGGAGCGAATGCTTTATCTATTAGCAAGAAATAACCTGCTGTCTGCATTCGAAATGAGAAATTTGCGGGGTAACTTCAGGAAATCGAAAAATTTTAAATAGTAATGAAAATGAATGCCTCAACGTAACTAGTAAAATCCATGCACAGTTACTAGTGCAGCTCATTCCTCACTCTCGTGCACCCTCTGCAACGTCACTACGCTGCTATACGCTGCCGCCGAAAATCACACAGCCCAGTTCGCCCAGTGTACCGAGTTCAGAGTTGAAGCGTCCGTGAGTGGGTCCCTTTAAGATCTGAGCAAAGCCTACCGGAGCATCAGCTTTTATGCATAAACTCAGTTTGTAACTAGTAATCATTTCGACATAGCGTGGTTCTAAAATGAGGGCAAAAATTAGGTCTAACTGTTCTGCGGGGGCCTCAAAATTCAGCGTCAACGATGGCAGAAAGATGTGAACCATAACGTTCGTCAAAATTGAGGTTGCAATTAGTGATCATTTTGACGTTGCTGCGTTGGATGGCAATTTCCGCAATCAATACATTTGAAAATTTACAGTTAATAACAAAAAATCATAACTATGGTTTATTCCTGTACTTTACACCAGTAACTAATCTAAAGATACGAACATAATGGAGCACAAAGTAACTGAACCCGAAGAAAAAATTTACTCGCATTAAATTTTTTACTTGCAGTTATGTCATAACGCAAGTTGCTAGCAATGTGGTGCCCACAAAAGAGTGCCGACAGCCTGTC